TAGAGACGGGGTTTCACCATGTTGACCAGGATGGTCTCGATCTCTTGACGTCGTGATCCACCCGCCTTGGCCTCCCAAAGTGCTGGGATTACAGGCGTGAGCCACCGCGCCCGGCCAGAAAGGTTTTAAATATATTTTGTGGTCACAGAAATGTTAGTACTTGTAGGAAATCAATAAAAATAAAACTCACCAAGGGAAGACACCCATGAAATACTTTTTTTTTTCTTCTTGAGATAGGGTCTCACTCTGTTGCCCAGGCTAGAGTACAGTGGCACGATCATGGCTCACTGCAGCCTCAATCTCCTGGCTCAAGCAATCCTCCCACTTTAGCCTTTTAAGTAGCTGGGACTACAGGCACATGCCACCAAGCTTGACTGATTTTTAAAATTTGATTTTAAGTAGAGATAAGGAAGGTCTTGCTATGTTGCCCAGACTCATCTGGCACTCCTATGTGCAAGCCATCCTCTCACCTTGGGCTCCCAAAGTGCTGGGATTACAGGTATGAGGCACTGTAGATCAAAATTAGAAGGAAATTTAAGTTTAATGTAAATCTAAATTTGACTGCTTCTTTTAGAACACTTAATGTCTTCAGCAAGCTCTTAAAGTGAGAAATCTGAGATTAAAAAAAAAAAGCTAGGGTAGGCGTGGTGGCTCACATCTGTAATGCCAGCACTTTAGGAGACCAAGGCGGGTGGATCACGAGCTCAGGAGTTCGAGACTGGTCTGACCAACATGGTGAAACCTCGCCTCTAGCAAAAATACAAAAATCAGCCAGGCGTGGTGGCATGTGCCTGTAATCCCAGCTACTTAGGAGGCTGAGGCAGGAGAATCACTTGAACTTGAGAGGTGCAAGTTGCAGTGAGCCGAGATCATGCCACTGCTCTCCAGCCAGCTTGGGTGACAGAGCAAGACTCTGTCTCAAAAAAAAAAAAAAGCCCCATGAAGTACTTAAAATGGTGATCAAATTTCTATCAGTCTAACCTCAGATCAATGCCTTACAGCTATTTTATTTAAAGGATTCGTGGACTGAAGTCAAATCCTGTAAGAAAAATGCTAAAATGCTGTTACTATTTCCAATTCTTATTTCAAATTAGAAACATTTATCTTTTTAAAAAACACATTCTGTGACAGGCTGTATTTTAAATTTATGTTTTTCAAGAGATCTTCAATTTTCTCTTCCTCCTCATTGGCCATAATCTAGATGACTTAGTAGTGTGTCTTCTCTTCCTCATAGAATATACTCACTCTTAAGAAGTTCTGGGGCCAGGCAAGGTGGCTCACGCCTGTAATCCAACCACTTTGGAGGCCAAGGCGGGTAGATCACCTGAGGTCGGGAGTTCAGGACCAGCCTGACCAACATGGTAAAACCCCATCTTTAAAAAAACCAAAAACCAAAAACCAAAAGGCCGGGCACGGTGGCTCAAGCCTGTAATCCCAGCACTTTGGGAGGCCGAGGCGGGTGGATCACAAGGTCAAGAGATCGAGACCATCCTGGTCAACATGGTGAAACCCTGTCTCTACTAAAAATACAAAAAATTAGTTGGGCATGGTGGTGCGTGCCTGTAATCGCAGCTACTCAGGAGGCTGAGGCAGGAGAATTGCCTGAACCCAGGAGGCGGAGGTTGAGGTGAGCCGAGATCGCGCCATTGCACTCCAGCCTGGGTAACATGAGTGAAACTCCGTCTCAAAAAAAAAAAAAAAAAAAAAAGAAGTTCTGGCTAATCAGAATTCAGAATAGCATGCTACCAACTATAATCATGTACATAAGTGGACATAATATATCAAAGCAATATTCTTTCATCTGTTTTGTATTAAATAGCACACATCTTCAAAATGAAAATGGCTTTGAAAACATACCGATTCATCCTTCTTGCCCTTTCCAATACTTCAAACATATGTTCTTGAAATAAATCAAGCCGTCGATAGCGATTATTTTCAACATTCTTCCTAATTATGTCAAACGTAAGGGGTGGTTTGTTAGTAAAGTTGGGATCCACAGCAGGAATTTCTGCTAAAGAATCACTGTAGCATCTTCCCTCATCATCCTGATGACTCATGACTGACACAAAAAGATTGTGGATAAGCTCTTGAATCAGCAAAGTCACATTTGGGACATGAGAATCCTCATCTCCCTCCAGGTCTCTGCGTGTTTCAAGCAGGACTTTGTGTAGGACAAGAGCATCTTTGTAGATCAAAGACTCAGGCTCATTGTATGTACAGGCATTATTAAACATCATGACGAAGTCCTCAACCATAGAGTCAATATCTTGGTACTTGTTTGCCATCATATGACTTCGAATTTTTTCCATGTCCATGGGCTTTTTAATAGTCAGATAGTAGTCAGGCAACTCAGATCTGGAGGGAAGCCTCAGAAATATGGCACTGAGGCGGCGACCCCTTTTATCAGTATAGTTCTTTACAGCTTCATAGACCTCATTGAGTTTCTGCTGCATTGGAGTCATGTATTTTGATTTTTTGGGAGAAATGCCACTCTTCCTACCTAAAGAGAGAGATTTAATGTTAAATGAATAAATTAAATGGACCTAAATTTGTATATAGATGGTAGCATAGCCAGAAGAGACTATTCCAAGTAATTTGTAAAACCCAGCAATTAGCATGTCTATAGTGAAATATAATCTGCAGACAAAAAATAACTAAAAAAAATTTTTAACTGTTTTCAGTAATCATATTTTTCATGGGAGACTAAGTACTGTAAGGTTGAGAAAGCTGTGAATACGGAGGAATAAAGCAAATGAGTAGCTATGTGACATTCTATCACCTCTAGTATCCCTGAGAATTGAGACTTTCAACATAAGAGATAACAGATGTTAAAACATAAGACATTACTAATTACCTTGAGGCCTTTAATCTCAATTGAAAGTTAACACTATGAATTTATGATATATTTTATCTTTAAATATAAACAAACACACACACACACACACACATCTCCTAGCTCTGTCCACTGAAAATCCTAGAAACAGTAACTACCTCGGTAGCTGTACAGCCTACACTAGAGTTTAAAATACTAATTCCAAATACTAATATTGAGAAGCCCTCACCTTTTAGTAGAAATATGTAAAAGGTACGGCTCCTTGGCAAATGGCTGATTCCCAGTCTGGTATGTCTTCAAACACTAGACAGTAAAGAATCTCAATGACTTCTTACCATGACTTCGTGTCAAAAGAATATGGGAAGTGGCTGGGCATGGTAGCTCACACCTGTAATCCCAGCAATTTGGGAGGCTGAGGTGGGTGGATCATCTGAGGTCAGGAGTTCAGCCAGCCTGGCCAACATGGCAAAACCCCGTCTCTATTAAAAGTACAAAAAATTAGCTGGGCATAGGGGTGGGCACATGTAATCCCAGCTACTTGGGAGGCTGAGACAGGAGAATTGCTGGAACCCAGGCAGTGGAGGTTGCAGTGAACTGACATCGCATCATTACACTCCAGCCTGAGCGACAGAGCAAGACCCTGTTTCAAGAAAAAAAAAAAAAAAAAAAAAAAAAAAAAAAAAAAAAAAAAAAAAAAAAAAGAAAGAATATAGGAACCAGCCTGAGTATCAATAAGGACAATAACTTCAATTATAATTCAGTTATATGTTTAAGTCTGGTAGTGCTTAATAATACATAAAAACGAACAACAAAGTGGGTAAATATTGAAGGATGTTAGTAAACCAATGCATTATTTTGAAAACTTGTAAATAAAGGGGAAAACAAAACAAAAATAAGCTTTTTATCCTTTCAAAAAGCAAGACACACTGACAACACTGTACCACTGGGTAATCAAATATTAGATAAGGCAAAGTTCCTCTATATAGAAGTATTCCAGCTAATAAGTAAGAAATAAAATTAAAAACTATCATAATTTTACATCCTTTTCATGAATAATTAATGAAGTACGCAACAACACCTGTTAACAGAAAGACATAAAGAGATTTCACATGTACCTGATGGAAGACCGTATATTACCTACGAAGTCACTTTTTCTGCCAAAGGGAGAAGACAGGGGATCAGACCTAAATCTGATCAAGCCTCTGGCTCCAACTACCAATTTATAGGAGATACAAAGGACAGAGGTACACATTAAAGTACAACATAGTGGGCCGGGCGCGGTGGCTCATGCCTGTAATACCAGCCCTGTGGGGGGCCAAGGTGGGTGGATTGCTTGACCCCAGTCTGGCAACATGGCAAAATCGTCTTTACTAAAAATACAAAAAAATGAGCTGGATGTGGTGGCGTAGTCCAGCTCATTTTTTTTGTATTTTTAGTAAAGACGGTTTTGCCATGTATCTATAGTCCCAGCTACTCGAAAGGCTAAAGTGGGGGACTGCCTCAGTTGGGAGGTGGAGGTGGCAATGAGCTGAGATTGTGCCACTACACTCCAGCCTGGGTGACAAGAGTAAGACTCTGTCTCCAGAAAACACACACACACACACACACACACACACACACACACACACACACACACACACACACACACGAATGCAATTAGCAAAACCCAGACAATGGGAAACTACAGCACAAACCTAATTTCTTCAACAGATAAATGGTAAGGGGTAGAAAAAGTGAGATGTGGAGGGGAGTTAGTATTGGGCCGGGCACAGTGGCTAATGCCTGTAATCCAAGCACTTTGGGAGGTTGAGGTGGGCAGATCACAAGGTCAGGAGTTAGAGACCAGCCTGGCCAATATGATGAAATCCTGTCTCCACTAAAAATACAAAAAAAAAAAATTAGCCAGGCGTGGTGGTGCGTGCCTGTATTCCCAGCTACTCGGGAGGCTGAGGCAGGAGAATCGCTTGAACCCGGGAGGCGGAGGTTGTAGTGAGCCGAGATCGTGCCACTGACTCCAGCCTGGGTGACAGAGCAAGACTCTCTCAAAAAAGAAAAAAAAAAAAAGGAGTATCAGTCAGTTGTAATATGTGGACTTTATCTAGATTCTACTTTAACCAGACACTACCTCAAGACATGATACAACATAACGGCAGTGAACCCCTTATGAAGTATCCTAAGTACCACCAAGCTGAAACTTAATCTAATCACACCTTCAAAGTTAACTTGCATTTATAAGAAATAAGTGAAACAAAGAAAAAAGTTACAGACATCACAAGGAAGCAAGTCTGTCTAAGCTAGAACTTAGGACACTGTCCAGAAAAGTAACCTGATTTCTTCAATGAGTTTGGCATGTGGAAAGAAAAGGAAGGAGACTGCTCTAGATCATGAGTTTAAGAATATAATAATCGGCCAGGCCCAGGGGCTCACGCCTGTAATCCTAGCAGTTTGGGAGGCCGAGGCGGGCAGATCACTTGAGGTCAGGAGTTTGAGAACAGCCCACACAACATGGTGAAACCCCATGTCTACTAAAAATACAAAAAACATTAGCTGGGCGTGGTGGCACGTGCCTGTAGTCCCAGCTACCTAGGAGGATGGGGGGCAGAATAGCTGGAACCTGGGAGGCAGAGTCTGCAGTGAGCTGAGGTCACACCATGGCACTCCAGCCTGGGCAACAGAGTGAGACTCCATCTCAAAAATAAAAAAAAAGTATAATAATCGACTGGGCACAGTGATTCACACCCGTAATCCCAGTACTTTGGGAGGCCACGGCAGGCGGATCATTTGAGGTCAGGAGTTCGAGACCAGCCTGGCCAACATGGTGAAACCCTGTCTCTACTAAAAATACAAAAATTAGCTGGGTGTGGTAGCGAGCACCTGTAGTCCCAGATACTCAGGAGGCTGAGGCAAGATAATCACTTGAACCCGGGAGGTGGAGGTTGCAGTGAGCCAAGATTGCACCACTGCACTCCAGCCTTGGCAACAGAGTGAGACTCTGTCTCAAAAAGAAAATAAAAAGTATAAAAATCAAATGCATTAAATAGAACTTAATGAGAGCCTGATTTGAAGTAATCAACTAATCAACTATAAAAATATATTTGTGAGACAATCAGTAGAACTTGACAATTTATCATGTATTAGATGAAACCAAGAAACTACTGTTAATTTTGTTAGGTGTGACAATTACTTCAATGTTATTTATGAAAAGTCTGCATATTTTATTTTATTTTCATTTGTTTTATCCTCAAAGACAAAGTGGCAGATATCTGCATATATTAGAGATGCATACTGAACTATGTAGAAGTACAATGACATGGTTGGATTTGTTTCAAAATAATTTAGGAAAAAGGGGATAGGAAATAAGTGTGTCACGATTTTGACAAATAATCAGTAGTAAGTATATACAGGGGTTCATTGTACTATTCTTTTATTTTTGGAGGCAGGGTCTAGCTCTGTTGCCCATGCTGGAGTAAAGTGGCATGATCAGGGTTCACTGCAGCCTTGACTCCCAGGCTCAAGCAATCCTCCCACTTCAGCCTCCCAAGTAGCTAGGGCCACAGGCACATACATGTGCCATCATGCCTGGCTAATTTGTTATATTTTTTTGTAGAGACAAGGTCTCCCTATGTTGCCCAGGCTGGTCTCAAACTCCTGGGCTGAAGTGATCCTTCTGCCTTGGCCTTCCAAAGTGCTGGAATTACAGAAGTGAGCCAACGCCCATGGCCGCTGTACTTTACATTTATATATGTTTGAACTTTTTCATTAAAAAACATAGAGAAATAAAAAGGAGGCCAGGCATGATGGCTCACACCTGTAATCCTAACACTTTAGAAGGCACAGGCACGAGGATCACTTGAGCCCAGGAGTTCAGGGCCAGCCTGGTCAATACAGGAGACCCTGACTCTATTAATTTAAAACAAACAGAAGAAATAAAAAAGGAAATTAACATTCCACATTAAAAAGCCCTTTTGGCCGGGCACAATGGCTCGCGCCTGTAATATTAGCACTTTGGGAGGCCAAGGTGGGTGGATCACAAGGTCACGAGTTCGAGATCAGCCTGATCAAGATGGTAAAGCCTTGTCTCTACTAAAAATACAAAAAAAATTAGCTGGGCGTGGTGTACACACCTATAGTCCTAGCTACTCCGCAGGCTGAGGCAGAAGAATCGCCTGACCCAGGAGGTGGAGATTGCAGTGAGCTGAGATCTTGCCAGTGCACTCCAGCCTAGGTGACAGAGTGGCACTCCGTCTCAAAAAGACTAAAAAATAAAAAAAATAAAAAGCTCTTTTATCCAGAACTTTGAAAAATGCCTATGTGAATTTATTTATTTAAACGTGTATTTATATAGTCATTGTTAAACTTATTAGTCTCTTATGAAATCAATTCTAGTTAAAACGTATTGTGTTCCTATAAAGCAGAATGAAGTTTTACATTTCTGCAAACCTTCTGTATGCTTTTACAGTTCCATGAAAAGATAAATGCCTTAACAAGAAGGATTTGGCCAGATGCAGTGGCTCACACCTGTAATCCCAGCACTTTGGGAGGCCAAAGCTGGTGGATCACTGGGTCAGGAGATTGAGACCATCCTGGCCAACATGGTGAAACTCTGTCTCTACTAAAATACAAAAAATTAGCTGGGCATGGTGGCATGTGCCTGTGGTCCCAGCTACTTGGGAGGTTGAGGCGGGGGAATCGCTTGAACCGAGAGGCGGAGGTTGCAGTGGGCCGAGGTCACGCCACTGCACTCCAGCCTGGTGATGGAGCAAGACTCCATTTGAAAAAAAAGGATTCATCACTTAGCAGTAAATCATACCCAAATCTAAATCTAATATCAAATTTAATTTATAGTCATTTCAGTTAAAAAAAAAAAAAGCTCGTCTGGGCCAGGTGGGGTGGCTCACGCCTGTATTCCCAGTACTTTGGGAGACTGAGGCAGGAAGATGACTTGTGGTCAGGAGTTTTGAGAGCAGCTGGCCAACACGGTGAAACTCCATTTCTACTAAAAATACAAAAAAATTAGCTGGGCATGCTAGCGTACACCTGTAGTCCCAGTTACTTGGGAGGCTGAGGGAAAGGATCACTTGAACCTGGGAGGCCAAGGTTGCAGTGAGTAAAGATCATGCCACTGCACTCTAGCCTGGGTGACAGAACAAGATTCTCTCAAAACAAAAACACAAACCAAAAGCTAGTGTGTTTGTTATCCCCTCTTTCAGCAAATATTGCTCTAATGAATATCATTATCCAAATTGCTTGGTATCTATTTTATTTACATATTTTAAAGAAGGCAGTAACCATTATCTAATGGTATTAATGACTTTTGCTGTCTTCTCTTCCAATCTTTTTCTCTTTTCTTTCTTTTTGAGACAGTCACCCATGCTGGAGTGCAGTGGTGTGATCTTGGCTTACTGCAACCTCTGCCTCCTGGGTTCAAGCAATTCTCCTGCCTCAGCCTCCCGAGTAGCTGGGATTACAGTTGTGTGCCACCATGCCCAGCTTATTTTTGTATTTCTAGTAGAGATGGGGATTTACCATGTTGGCCAGGCTGGTCTTGAACTCCTGACCTCAAGTGATCTGCCCACCTCAGGCTCTTAAAGTGCTGGGATTACACGTATGAGTCACTGTCCCTGGCCTTCCCTTACAACTTTTAATAAAACAACCAGCCACAGACTACACTCAAATGACATCTGAGTATAGTGCAGTAGCTAGACATCTCAAATTCAAAGTCCTCAAATTCTGTCCAGTTGGAACTGCTGGGATTCATTTTGAATTCTAGTAATTGTCAGACACTCATAACAAGAAAAGAAAATCTGCTACTATACTCTTAAAGCACTATAGGTAGAGAAAAAATCTATTCTTACTATTTAAAAGTTACAAAATGTCCACTGCATTTAAGAAAGTAAGCAAAACCTCTAACATATTTTACACTCCACATGCCTGTCACAGCTTAGCTACTTAAAGTACAGTACACAAGAGTGCCTGACAAGAAGAAAGAGACTCCATGTTGGAGTACAGTGAGTTCAAATATATTAATCATTTAATTAAATATTATTTCAGAAAAATCAGCATCTCTCCTTGATAGGCTAAACTGAATAAAAAAGTGTGAGGCTGCCTTACTCAGCTTGAGTTTGGGAGAAGCCATGTCATCATCATCTGGTAGTGGGCCCAGCTCTTTCCTTTTCTCCTTGAGTAACTTCTCCAGGATATGTGCATCATTGTATACCTACATTCCAAACATATATTTAAATTATTTTCTAAAAACTTTGTATTAAGGTATAAAATGCATCCATAAAGAAGTTTTAAAAAGACAATTTAGGATAGTTGGGTGCTTAAAGAAAACCAAAAACAGGCTCACAACAGAGCAATAAAATCACTGTATCTGTGGGAAAGCCTAGGCCTTAACTGGTTTATTTTTAAGCTTCCTGGGTGATTCTAATGCGCAGACATGCATGTTAATGTTTGAGAACCACTGTAGTAGAATTACTGCAAGTTTTAATAGAAGTCTTGAAACACATTTACATGTGTTGTTTTCTTCAAAAACCTTTATTTTCCACTGGACACTCAAAGTAGCAGACTTAGCCCAATGGAAATTAGAGACTAAAAATATCTGATAGTTGGAGAGCAATATCTCAATATCTTAAATCCCAAATCTGAGTTCACAGTCTGAGGCTTAATCTATAAAAAAAAAAATTATCCTTGCTTAGGGATCTCTCTCTGAGGACTGAGCCAAGAGTAGTAATATGTAGTCAAGAACAAGGTTACTCACCTTATGACCTTTTAGTAGAGACGGGATCATAAGCTCCCTCCTCTTACCTCCCCAGCAGAGGCTATGTCCTCCCTTGGCCACCCACCAAAGCAGAGGAGCTGAGGGAATAAGTGACCTCTCTTGTTTGGCCACCTGTCTTAAAGGTGGCTTTTTCTTCTACCAGTGATAAACAAGTGATACACTGGCCAATGACACTGAGGACTGTGTAAATCCCTAAGATAGAACCATTTTTTTGGATCTATAAGCGTCCTCAACGCATACTTTATTTTATAATCAAATGTAACTGCAGAGGGAAACAAATGACTGGAAAAATTTATGTTATTTCTGGGAGCTGTAAAGTGGATAAAAAGATATCAAATAGAAAATGTTTCAAAGAAGGAAGGCTGTAACTTAGTTATGCTGATAAAGAACTAAACAAGATGCTTCATAGTAAAATAAATTAAATCAATTATTTAGAGGTGCATTTATGAGACTATCATGTTGGTTTTTATATAATTATACCATTTTCTATACAGGTTGTCTTTGGAGAAGTATGGTTGTTGAGGATAGAAATAACGATGATGATGAAAGATTTTAATGCTATTGGTTTACCTTTCAGTGCTTATTCAGTAACAGGCACTCTGCTAAATGCTCAGTATACATTATCTCTTTTAAAGCCTACAACAACCCTAATGCAAGTACTATTATTAATCCTAATTTATAGATGAAGAAACTGAGCTTCAGGAAGGATAAATTACTTACATAGAGGTTGGCAGAATGAAATTCAAATCTAGGATGTCAGATTACAAAGTAGGAACTTTTAACCTTTATAATGTACTGCCTCTGATTTTAAACAATGAAGAAAAATCAAAGTATTAACCTAGTCACCAAAAATAATAATCTACATTAAGCTTCTAGAGCTGGTCTCTCAAAATGCATTATTTTACAAGCACCTCCCTCCCCCAAAACGTGCCTACTTCAGGACCCTGCCCCTCACCTGGGAGCCCTCCTCGTTGTAGTGCCTGGCATTCCGGAACATCAGCTTCATGTCTTCTATCATTCCCTCTTCACCTGCATATTTGTCATTACGGATGTTATGCTCAATTATTTTCAAGTCCATTGGCTCCAAGATGATTTTATAATAATCAGGATAGTCCTTTTTGGATGGTTTAACCATAAATAGGTCACAAAGTCTTCTGCCTGAACCTGGCTCTCGAGCTTCAAGAACAACATTGAATAAGATTTTCATTCGCTGCTTTCTTATGTTCTTTTTACTGTTGAGGAGGAAGGTAGAAAAAGGGAAAAATGAGGATAGGTTCAGTTTTCTTAATATAAGGACAACCATAAAATGAAACAAATTATTTGTGGACAGGTGCTTTATAATGATTACAATTTATTTATTACATATGCTACAAACACACTAAACATGCTGGAAGCTATAAGCAAATATTAGAAAAAATTTCAAAAATAGTTAAAATATAGTGATCCTGGCAGGAGCAGCAAATGAATACCAAAAAAACTTTATATAGATATTTCATGAAATGCAATGTTGGAAACAAAGATCCTCTCTGATACCAAAAGAAAATGAAATTATATAACCAACTGAAATACATTTTTTGTTTAACGAAGAGTAGAGGAAAGGTACAATAAAACTAGCAATTCCCTATTGTTAGCAATATCCTCACTTTTAAGCACAAAAACAAAACAAAATAAAAAACCTAGAAAGAGAAGTGTTTCATCTCTTAAGACAAGTACTCCAGAACACTTGTATATTTTGGTTGTCTGAAAACAAAAGGAGACTGTCTGCCAGACTAGTGTCTTTACAGTGGGTATGAGCCTTTCTGTCAGGGTCGTCCTTGCTCTCTCCATCAGCATTATTCCACAATTCCAACCTACTTTAAAGAGTAAGTGGTAAGGTTCATCTGAGTTTTCTAGAGTAAAATTTTTATCCTTGAGCATGAATCCCTGTCTTGTTCTCCAAATTCCTTCAGTCAGTTGTGATGCTAAGAAACTGATTTGAGCAGTGTAGAACAAAGCATAAAGGACTATAGATTAGATCCAGAGTTCAAATGGGCTCCAAGAGAGCAGATCGTCTTATCTCTTAATTGTTGAAAAAATTGGCTCTGAGAGGGTAAATGACTTGCCCAAGGTGAGCTTCCTAGTAAATTATTAGAAGAGATGCTCTTCCGATATGACTTCTGGTTAACTGTTCTTATATACTCAGGAAACAGATAATTTCTACATAGATAAAGAAATTCTAGTCAGACTAACCAGCAGTCTCCAAGCGAACAGTCAAGTAAGCAATAACAAGAAATGACTCACGACTTAATTTCTATTAAAAAAAACATTCACTAAGATCCTACATATACAGTACAGTCATCCCTTGGTATTCATGGGGAATTGGTTTCAGGATCTCCCTTGGATACCAAAATACACAGATGCTCAAGTCCCTGATATAAAATGGTGTAGTATTTGCAAACAACATATGCACATCCTCTTGTATACTTTAAATCATCTCTAGGTTACTTATAATACCTAATACATTATAAATGCTATATGGTTGTTTTGTTATATTGTACTGCTTAGGACATAAGAAAAAAAGTTTGTACATGTACAGTAAAGATACGATTAAAAAATTTTTTTCTAGCTGTAGTTGGCTGAACCCCTGGATGTGGAGGCCATGAATATAGAGGGCCAACTGTACTTAAAGGTAAGTATTTTTTATCTGTTTCCTATCCTGTAGGTAGAAGAAAGTTCATTCTTCAAGCAAACTATGTGGCTGTATAAGTCTTCTGGTCCAGTCTGCTGACTACTTGCACTACTGCTGGGTCATGAAGAAGCCAAAGGCCAGATATTTTCTCTCCAAGGTTCAGAATACACTTGTTTAAAACACAGAAAGAAAAATAAAGAATTAACATTTGAGAAAATAACTAGCTATCCTTAAGATTTTTTTTTTTTTTTTTTTACAGAGTCTAGCTCTGTCACTCAGGCTGGAGTGCAGTGGCATGATCTCAGCTCACTGCA